CGCCTCATAATGGGGCTCCAACAATTTGTCAGTTACATTAACTGCTCGAAGCTGACGCAGCAATTAGTACCGAAAAATAAAAATAAAAAAAATCCACTATAAAAAAAAAAACGGAAATTTCAAAACAAGTCAATTGAAAGTTGTGAAATGTGTTCGCTTTTCTCCCAAGTGGATTTCGGGTTGGGTCTTTTATTTTTTATTTTTTGCCCGTTTGCCCGACTTCCGTTTCGTGTCTAGTGGCTACCAATCATGCCAAAAGGCAGAACTAAAACATAAACAATTGAAACTGATTAAATTCATTTGATAACGAGGCGGTGCCCAAGTCTGGGGATTGCCACTTGAGATATGGCACTCACTGTTTTTTCTTTCAGGGGGGGTGGCAAATATGCAACTGTGGTATCCACCCTATCAAGTAGCCAGTATCTAAATGCACGGCATTCTATATATGCGTGTTGAAGCTCATTTCTTGCTAAATGGAAATGTGAAATAAGCTTTGAGTTTGCATAGAATTTCGGGTGCTTTCAAGTGGCTTACTAGAAAGAGGATTACACACAAAAACTAAATACTCAACTCAAATTCCGAGTTTGAATTAAAATAAAAAAGAACAAAAATAACTGGCTTGAAATGTGTTGTCTACCGAATTCAATAAAAGTATAAATAAACAGGCAGATATCCTATAAATGTTAATAAGGCTCTTGGCATAAATAAAAAATAAACATGCTTATTTTTAAAGTTTAGCTGCGCAAACTATTTTTAGTTGGTATTAATAAATTTGAGTAATTATGAATTCAATGGCTCGGAAGATGAACAATATGAAAACTGTATATTCATGAAATTTGTGAGCATTTAAAACTATAGTTGATGTTTATGCAACCGTGTGGCAGTCTCTGTTCTTGTTGTTGTTGTGTTTTGTCACACGCTGCAACAATCTGTTGGACAACACCAGCAAGTCAAACAACAACATCCGCAAAGCATTTAGCGTTTTAATTAAGCGAAAGTGGGAGTCAATTGTTGTTGCTGTTGTTGTTATTGTAAGTGATGCATAGCTTTGCTATATATGCATAAATATATATAGTTTTGTGATGTATGTGTAGCTGGGCGTGGTCAGCTATCCATGACTGTTGCTGGAGTGTAAACTGTTTACGCACTGAAGGGCCAATGACTTGCAGTAGATAAAAAACAGCTGCAGCTGCAGCAACAGCAGCAGCAGGACAGCGAGTTTATTGTAGGTGGCATGTTGCAAGCAATGCTGACGTTGCCACGTGTATGTCAAACAGCCAGTCACAGTCACAGTCAGTGTCAGTTGACGCGGTCAACCCTCGAACCACCCTCGTAATTAAGCGCATTGAAATGCAACTGAGATTTTCGCTAGCTTGATGCTGCGTCATCATCATCATCACTATCTTTCTCGTGCTCTTTCTCTCCCACCGTTTCTCTCTCTTTCTCTGTTTCTCTCTGTATCTTTCTCTGCTTCGCTTGCTTCGCTGCGTCTCTCACTCATTTGCCAATTACGAGTTCTACTCGAATGCAGCAAAGCGACAATGCAGACATGGCAACGACATGCTGTCGACTTGTTTATAATGTCGTCATTCCCAGCAGCAGCAACAACAGCAACAACAACAGCAACAACAACAGCAGCAGCAATAACAGCTTCGCACTTTGCATGCCATGCGGCGCCAGCTAATGCCACCGATTTCAATTGCAATTCCCCACGCACCCCTCCATTCCCGTACATAAATTTATTAATTATTCTGTGTGTTGCAAAGTTTCGTTCTCGGGCGAAAATTCGGCACACACGTTGCGCATTTCTCGCCAAGATTTGCCAGCCTTGGAGGGCTTTTCTATTCTTATTGCTGCACTAATTGAGTTCACATTACTTGGCAAAATAAATGCGCTGTGTGTCTGTATTTTTAGCCAAATGTTGCCGTTTTATTAGCTAAACGTGAGTTGGCAACTATGCCGTCTAAATCTCTCGTCTGCCCAAGTGGCAGTTGAAAATGTCAATCGATCAAATGAGTGCGTCCGATGGGCTTGGATGGCTTCAGATTAGCCAACGTTGATACACTACGAGCGTGACTTTGCAGCTTTGCCGCAATGGCAGTGGAAGGGTTGCTTACTGCTCGGGTCTAAGCACTTAGCACTCTTGCGAGGGGGTTGAGGGGGGCAACGACTAGCTTTTACTTAGATAATCCATTAATTTCCCCACTAGTTAGTAATGATTACTTTAGTAATTCATTTCGAATTCTTCACACCAGTTTCAATAGGCTCCAGAATCATTTTCATATATAGAATATTACTTACTAGCTATAACTTACTAAACTTGATAAAATCGCCAAATCTTTATGTTTTTACTACATATAAAATTGAATCTTTTATTTATGGATTTCATTTGTGCATTTTTATGTTCATAGCTGTATTATTATTACAATAAAGTATTAATTTATTTTTATGATCTTTAGTATTTGCCTCATTCCAAATTCAAAAATACATTTCTGATTATTTCAGAGTTTTAATAATGAAGTGGGCTCAACAATTGAAAATAAATTGACGCCAATTAGGTGGGCAGTATCATTAAGTAAATTATTTTTGAAATTTCATTACATATGTATACAGAATTAAAATTCAAAAATTAGATATGTAAATATGTTATTTTATCCGCTGAATGCTTTAATAATCATTCCATGCTCAGTTTATTCCGGATCAAAATGCTCCCCTTTTAATCTTCATCCAACTACCTTTTTTCAACACATTAATTCTTCCTTTTTTTTATTGTTTTTTATCCTGATTAAATAATTAAATGAATTAATAAATCCACGATTATTATAGAGATTTTTTCGGCTTTAATATGCAAATTTCCAACACATATTGTTTTCCTCTTTTTTTTTGGTACCCTGAGTCAAATATTAAATTAATAAATCCGCAAAATATTATGGACTTTATTTTGGATATCATACAAAAATGTACAACACATTTTCTTTTCATCTTCCTTATTGCCCTGAGCTAAATAACAAAATTTAATGGACATTTTCCTCCATATAATTAATAGCGAATTTTTAACGATGTATTGTAAATTTTATATTGATTTTAATCCAATAAAATGGCTTCGCTTGGAAATGTACTGTAAGCCCACTTTCTCCTCTGGCTGCTTTCCATGGCATGATTTCATGCTCTGCTTGATGGTTCCTCGTTTAAGCTGCAAACCCATTAATGATTCTACTTGTCGCTCACTGCGTTAACGAGCCGAAGGCAGCAGTGCGTCAGTCCCTGACACGGTTTATATGCAAGCCTTGGCCAGAGCCACCAATTTAGTGCGACCACGTATCCTTTATCCCATTTCCCAGATAGTAGTTGCCCCAATACCCGAGCTCCTTCTACCCCCCAACCCCCACCCCACCATGCTACAAGTGTAACCTAACGAGCAGCAAGTGTTGCAGCAAAGTTTTTATTTTTTTTGTGGTCTGACAATTTAATTGATGTACCTGTATGCACACATAGACGGGTCAAACACATGTGCACACTGGTTGAAGTCAACCGTTTGAACAAACCGCTAAAAAATGACACCTACAACAACAGAGGAAGAGAGACGGAACGAGAGAGAGAGAGAAAGGGGCAGGCGCCCGAAAAGGTAAACCGAAAGTAGGTCAGGCATGCAACCTGCTGTCAACGCTGGATAATTGGAGAGGGTGCCCAACACTCATCAGCAATGGGGCAGGTTGCAGCAGCAAAATGGCAGTGCGACTACAACATATATATATACATATTATATACGTATATATATTATATACATATATATTATACATATAAGTACAACGACGATGCGAGCGTTTTCCGATTAATGGCTTCAAAATTTGATTTTGTTTGACACGCGGCTGACACAACTAATAAATTTCCCAACCCAGTGCATGAGGAAGGGCAGTCAACAGCCTCCTGCAGTGCTGATTGATTGTCCGGCGCTCCGATAAGCCGAGGTGCAACAAAAACAAAACATGAATTACGACGACGACGACGACGACGCCGAATACTAACTATTGACAAAGTCGATAGCTGACAGATAAACGCCTGATTAGTGGTCGCACTCGCTTTAGTCCAAATATTTACCCAGTTATTCACAAGTGACACGATCGCATATCATATAAATGCGATATTCATATATATATATGTGTATTTATATTTGCCACCTCCTCTCGATGTGCCCATCAATCAATTGGTCTGTTTGCACAGGCAGCCGTCGCTCCGTTTGAGAGTTGTAAATTTTACAACATAATTTCTGATAATTTAACCATATCTCGCTTCTTGGAGTGCGGCAGGCAGGCACTTCAACAGTGGCAAGCACTTTGCATGTGTTTTATGATATTCGACATAGATTTATTTTTTATACACACACAGATATATATATATATTACCCCAAGAACAGCAGTGGCGATAAACAAACAAACCGAAGAGCGGCAAAAGGGTTCTTTTTACTGCATTTTTTGGCAGCAACTCGTAAAACACTTTTGGATTTTATGCTCGGTAAGTAGTATATAAGAAATGTCTTGAACGATAAATGGCTAGCGTAAAAGAATATATATATATATTTATATAAATATTTAATCTGGTTGATTTATGAGCTTACAACACACCATCCAATATATAATTCAATCCGCTCGACGGAGAAATAATATTAAAAACAAACTCTGCATCGATAAAAATTTGACATTTTATTTCAGATTTATGTTTAATTTATTATTTATAGTATACAGACAATAATTAATACAATCTCTATCCATTTTTAATGCATTTTCTGCATGATTTTGTTTTACAAAATCGAAAATGCCATCAGCCTAAAATCCAAATTCGTTTTGCATTAATTTGTCAAGCAATAAATATGCCAAATGATGACAGCTAATTGATATTAGATATCAAATTAAATTCGAATTATCAATTTCAAAATATATATATATATATATATATATATATATATATATGTATATGTATATGTATATCCGAAGGCAACTCACCGATTAAACGCAGCACCTCGTGCAAATTGAGAAATATATTCAAATGGGTTTGTCCGCTGCTGAGCAGCGCCAAACATAATCCGATTGTGAAGATGCCTTTAAAGTTATTCTCCATTATGGCCGTTGAATTGAAAAAAAGATCACTTGAATTAACTACACTTGACGCTCTTATTGTTTAATTAATAATTGCTTTGTTAATTGTTTGACTCGGCTGCTGCACACTTTTTAATAATTAATTTAATATCAATTTGTTGATTTGATGGCGCGCATTTTGCGTTTAAATATTTCACAGTGCATTTGGCACTTTTGCCTCGCCTCCGATTCCGATGCCGACTCAGACTCAGATTCAGACGACGCGCATATTCCAATCGGAATTATCACGTTGCGTTGCACTCGGTAGTTAGGCGACAGCACTAAGACAAAATGTTGCCCGTGTTTGGTTCGTTGGTTCTTGGTCTTGTTTATCCGCAACGAATTTTCGTTGATGCGCGCACCGTGACGATTTTCCACAAACTGTCAACTGGATAAACAAAACAATGCTAATGCTCAATTATCTTTCAGATACTTTTAACAGTTCCTGTTAATATGTGCACACACTGTTATCTGTTCTGTTAGATGGCAGTTGTATTCTTTCTTTCGAATACAGCCACAATGGCTGTTATTCTGTGCATCTCTTACAGCTGTTCTCGAATTTTCGAACTCGAACTGAGCAGAGTGCGCTCTGTTATACTTCTTTTAGAGTCCTGTTACGGCCTGTTATTTTTAAATACTTTTTTAGTTTAATATGGAATAAAGTCATTGCCTTAATACTATACTGGAATATTTCAAAACTCTATATTTATTAAAAATGATTCAAAAAGTTTTGAAATTTTTTTATTGGCATGTTACTGAAATCAAATGCTAACGTTCAAATCATGTTAATATTTTTGTAAATGCAATTGCGCCACCTGTCGTTACTTGTATGCACTAAGCACCGCAGTATAACAATTGTCTGTGTAAGGGGCACTTTTGAGGGGTAAGCTTTGACTATAATTTCCAGTAAAATTAAAAAAATTAAAATAAACAAAATAACGGAACATTAAACAATGGATAAATATTCAAAACTTTAGATATTATTTTTAAAAACTTCTTTACTTTAAGGTAGTGTTTTCGTCCAATCCAATTGAATTTGAAATGCATTTGAAAATAAATAGGCTTTTAAAATAAATAAAATAAAATAACTTTAAAATCGGAAATGTTGTTCTGAATGCGTAAGCAGGTATGTGTGTTTATTTAAATATAAATATAATACAATTAGCTGCACTTTGGCCTTAATTTAATAACAGAGAATAATAAAGCATAAATTTGCATGAGTAAGAAGTAGATAAAATTAGCATTGCTTTTGTAATGAAAATATCAATGAAATTACTGTAACTTAAGTGATAGCTATTAAATAATAGTACCTCAAATGCAGTAATGGCTGAACTTATGACATTATAAATACTAGTATTTAATTAATGAATACTAACTGGACAGGTTGCAGTTTCGATTAAGTTTACACATTTGACACAAAACTTTGGCTTAAACACATAAACATTAAATATAAATTAAGCAGTTAGACGCTTAATGAATTATTCCTTGACTGTTAGCTGGTCCATGGAACTCAGCGTTGTCTCTATTAACAAGTTGTAGTCCAATTCGTTTAGGCTCGCCTTGGCGGTTAACAAGTCCAGAAATGAGTCCAGCGGCGACAAGGTTTCCGCCGTCAGATCTAACAAAGATATAAGAGACATATGAGTAAATGGGTATAAATATATGTGGATACATTAAACTACAGACAGACAGACAGACACTGGCTAATACACAGAGTTATTCGCTGCTTACCAGCCAGAAGATGATCGGGCACCGTGGCTAACTATATATCTATATATATATATATGATATATGATTACCAAATCGCTGCTCGCTGCATAATTACAAAGCTTACAATGCTCAAAATGGTTGTGGTTAAAATTATAAGCAAAAAAACCAAAAGCAACGAGTGACAAACAAATGTTGTCGGCTTGTTCAGTGCTACGCCATAAAAATAAAATGATGCAATGAAAATGAACATGAAAATTACATGAGAAGCAAAAAGGAAAAGCAAAAATGCCCATCCTGATTCTTACCGCTTCTGGTGTGCATGCGTGATTGCGAGACGCCGCCAGAGCCGCGTCGCTGTGGCGGCTCCTGGTGCTGACCCGAGAGAATGTTGGCCGCATGCTCGCGTCCACGGATCATGAGGCTCTCGGGATGCTGCCAGCACTTGAGGAGGCGCTGAGCCCGCTGCTTGGGCAGAGCCGACAGCAGCGACAATTTGCGTTCGATGCCCGGCGACGAGTCCTCAATATCTAAAGGATAAATATCAATTAGATCGAAACTGAGCAGGTAAATCACTTTAAGTCGCACCATAAACAATGCTCTTCATAACATCAACTTGCAGCTCGAAGACATGATTCTCCACATACTGCAGAAACATGTCATAGTCCAGGGCACGATAGCCCAGATACGTGAAGAACGACGAGAATCCCTCGGGCAGGGGAAAAGCAATCGATTCCACGGCCAGGCAATAACGCTCCAATATGAGAAACAGCGAATGCTGCTGATTGCTGGACATCTGATCACTAAAATGAACAAATCATTATTTATAGATATATATTATATATAGTTGCATATGTGACCCACATCAGTTGGAAGCCACGCAACGTTTCCAGGCGCGCATCCAAGCCAGCGGCGCGACAGACCAGCGAGCAGAGAGCACGCGACAATTCCAACTGGGCGGAGACGAACTGGGAGGCCACGGCATGAACATGAGCCGGCGCCTGGGAACGCTCAAAGAAGGTCTCCTTCAGCCAGCGGAAACCGGAATGCGGCTTGGACGAGTGCTTCACAAGATGCACGCTCAGCTCGCGCAGATACTGGGAAAAAAAAGAGAAACAAATCCTTATTTGAGATGGACAACTAATAAAACTGAAGGGTGTAAGCTGTGATCTGTGCGGATTTATTTACAGCTGGCCAGATGGACTATAAATACAAGCCGTAATCTTCTCTTCATCTGTTCCACTTACCACAGATAGCACATGCTCCTGCTTGCTGGCCGTGCATCCCTCGAGCTCGATGAAGGGCAGCACCTCGTTGCTGAAGGGAAAGGCGCTGACGCTGCTGTAGTCGCCGAAGCCACTGCTGCCCGCATCGGGTGTCATGGGCGTGGTGCTGCGTGACAACGCCTCCGGCTGATAGCAGGCCAGACTGAAGATGAGCTTCTCCGTAACTTGTTCGGCGGCGAAGCGTGGCTGCTCCTGCTTGCCGGTCTCGTTGAGCAGCTCCCACAGCCGTGTCCAAATATCGGTGCGATATGGCGAGAGTCGTTGCTGCGGCGACAGCAGCATCATGCTCGTATTATGCAGCGCCTCGTGGGAGATGCCCACGCTGATGTCGGCGACCCGGGCCTGAATAGGTCGCGTGGCAATTGCCGTTGTCAGTGGCAGCAGGCGCATCAATGGTTTCGCCTCTTCGGGCAAGCCACGCACAGCGGCCGCATAGCTGCCGGCAACGAGAGCCTCCCTCAGCAGCGCCACCGTGTCCAGCGAGAGCGGACGCTCGAGAATGCTGCTCAAGAGCTCGGCAAGAACGTCCATGTCGCCGGAATGGATGAGGAAATAGTGTATGATGCTGATGCGATTATCCAGCGAGTTATCGTTGCGGAATGCCTCAATCAGGTGCGCCTTGGGTACGCTCAGCGACACCAGATCCAAGGTGGCCGCATCATAAGCCAAGGCGCCCCATTTGCGCAACGGCACCAGTTGGATGACATCGGGACTGCGATTGTTAACAGCCGGGCAAACAATGTGGCAGGTGGGTTCGTGCTGCAGTCCCACATCGAGCAGATGCACAAAGAATGCCGACGAGACGAGCAGATGATGGGCGCCCTGCAGCGCAAATGTGGGACGCAAGAGGCGTGCCTTATGCCAGGGCACACCGGGCATGACGCAGTGCACCACACAGCCGTGATGCAACAGCGAAACGGAGTAGGCAAAATGGACATCCTGCTGCTGCTGACGCGCTGTTGCCGCCTGCGCAAACTGCGGCTGCATGGGCTGGTAGAGATAATAGTGGCACACGAAGAACATGCCCGAACTGTCCGCCAGAATGATCAGATTCAGTGAGCTGTCATGGACGCGCAACGGGACCACATCGTCATCATAGCTAGGCGCCTCCTCCGAGGCATGCGTGGGCAGCTTTGGCAGATTCAACGGAATATTGAGCTATTAACAAGAAATATAAATCAATGTGGAGTCTGTTAAAGAAGATCTCTCGTCTCCCATCTTACAACTGTTTCCGTTGGCTGCTTCTCATTGAACTGGAATGCGGAGAGTGTTGGACTCAGAACTGGAGCCATCTGTTCGCCGATCTGCTCTCGTTCGTCCAACAGACTGAGACTCACCGCCTTGGGCTTGAGATGTATGTAGTACAATGCCTGACATTCGGCATCCCACTGGGCCCAGCTAAAGTTCTTGGCCAGCGTCTCATGAGTCAATATGCTGGTGTCCAGATGCCAGGCGCTGCACTCCACACTGCCCGTCTGTGATGAGATCGAGCTCTGTTTGACCGTGCAGCTGTACTGCTTGATGGCTACAAGGGAGACGAGAGAGTCTTTAATAAGATTTAACTTCATATGCAGACAGCCACTTACAATCCTCATGGGTGAGCACCAGTAGTTTATCCTGCCAGCAGGTGCGCGTTGCACACTCCACGCGCCAGAGGAACTGCGTCATTATCTGCCGTGGCGAGGGTTCTGCATTGAGGGGCGTTGGTGTGCCCCCCTCGCTGCTGCGCACCTCCACAACGAATGCCTCGTAGCGCTGCTCCGCCTTCAGCACATAGGACAACAAGGTGATGCTGCTATTGATGCTCGCCTGGATGATCTCCACACAGCCGGGCAGTGTCCACAGCACACGCAGCTGTTTCTTCGTTGCATGAAAATGACCAATGCAAGTCTCGCGCTTATCGTCCTGCTCAAATATCCAAGTTGTTAGCAGCGAGCCATCCTGTTCCTGGCCCAACATTCGCCATTCATTCGCCTTTTCTGCACGCAAAAATAAATCGAATTTCAATTAGCACAATTGCGATTTTCTGATATAGCTACAGCACTTGCCTTTGTAGCCCTGGGCGGCTAGTAGTCCGCAGAAGTTGGCTGCCAAGTTCTCCTGTCGCAACATTTCAAGTTTAATTTAATTATTTAATAAATAATATTTCAGTTGCCGCATTTCAAATCACTCGAGAAATCAATAAAACGCCACGACCGAGTTGGCAACGCGGCAAATCAGCTGTGCGCAGGGTGACCATAGTTTTTGAGTAACTTTACAGTGTGGCAACGCTGCTGCTGCAGACTTTTTGGTAATGGCGCAAAGCACCGTTGTATTCAATTTAATGAGAAAGTTAATACATAAAAAATGCCAAGTGAAATAATTACGCTACAATTGGGCCAATGCGGCAATCAGAGTAAGTTTATCTATTAAAAATAAAATGTAATGCAATGCAATTGAAAATACAATTCGCGCAGTTGGCTTCGAGTTCTGGAAGCGACTATGTTTGGAGCACGGCATTTCACCGGACGGAGTCCTGGAGGATTTTACGGCTGATGGACACGATCGGAAGGATGTGTTCTTCTATCAGGCAGATGATAATCATTATGTACCACGATCGGTGCTCATCGATCTGGAGCCACGCGTCATACACAACATTATGAGCTCGCCCTATTCCAAGGTAAGCTGGAGATTCCACAATAAATATATATCTGGGCTTAGTTCAGTATAAATCCTATTTTAGCTCTACAATCCGGAGAATGTGTACTTGTCAAAGCATGGAGGCGGAGCTGGCAACAATTGGGCCTCCGGCTTTAGCCAGGGCGAAAAGGTGCACGAGGAGGTCTTCGATATATTGGATCGTGAGGCCGATGGCAGCGAGTCCCTGGAGGGTTTTGTGCTCTGCCATTCGATAGCTGGTGGCACTGGCTCTGGGATGGGTTCGTATGTGCTCGAACGGCTCTCGGATCACTTTCCCAAGAAGCTAATACAAACGTACAGTGTGTTCCCCAACCAGGAAGAGATCAGCGATGTCGTCGTCCAGCCCTACAATTCGATACTGACACTCAAACGGCTCACGAATTGTGCGGATAGCGTTGTGGTGCTGGACAACACGGCACTGAATCGCATTGCCACCGAACGGCTCCACCTGCAGACGCCCACATTCACCCAGATCAACAATCTGGTGTCGACGATCATGAGCGTGAGCACCAGCACACTGCGCTACCCATCGTACATGAACAACAATCTGATAGGACTAATGGCGCCTCTGATTCCCACGCCACAGCTGCACTTCCTCATGACTGGCTACACGCCACTAATCACCGACTTGGAGGTGCCGCTTAGAAAACCCTTTTTATTTTACATATTTAACTAATCAACAACTTTATTGACAGACAACGACCAATGTGCGCAAGACGACAGTTTTGGATGTGATGCGGCGGCTGCTGCAGCCCAAGAATATGATGGTGTCATCGACGGCTGACAAGCGTCACTGCTACATCTCCATATTGAACATCATACAGGGCGAGGTGGATCCCACACAAGTGCACAAGTCACTGCAGCGCATTCGCGAACGCAAACTGGCCCAATTTATACCCTGGGGTCCCGCAAGCATTCAGGTTGCCTTGTCGCGCAGCTCACCCTACGTGCAAACGTCGCACAAGGTGTCCGGTCTGATGATGGCTAATCACACAGGCATCAGCGCCCTGTTCAATCGGGCTCTGATCCAGTACGACAAGCTGAAGAAGCGCAATGCCTTCCTAGATCAGTTCAGGCGTGAGCCCATGTTTCAGGATGATCTCAACGAGCTGGATTCGGCACGTGACACTGTTGACTGCCTGGTGCAGGAGTACGAGGCAGCCACGCAGTCGGACTACCAACAGTGGAGTGCGGTTGCAATGGGGCCAAAACCCTAAGTCCAAAATATGTTATACGATAATCGTAGTGAGCTCGTAAAATTCATTTAAGAAGTAGTCTGTGCCTCACAATATCAGCCAAATATAAAAATGTCTGTCGCATTGTTAGAAAATTTTAAAATACAAGCACAGTGTTTGTATGATTGCTAAAATCTCAATCTTATTTTTATTTCCAGTACAGCAGTCATGAGACTGCTTAATAGGTCATTCAAGAATTTCTTGGACACCATGAAGTATTATCTCGGCAGTGGATTCCAAAGAGCTTTCAAAATTTACGTGCAACTAACTGGAATAGGATGTTTCCGGCCTTGAAATGAATCTGGATAAACATCTTTATAACACACGACTGACAGTTGAGCCTTTATTGTGGTTTTTTATATCACCAGATATAACATATCATGCAGTTTGCGAGTAAATCATAGATTACATACTTGAGCTATAAATAACATGCAATGCTATAGATATTAAAATGTAAACCAGAAATCATTGATTAAAAACACTAAGCAAAGAAACCTTCAGCTAGAAAATACGATTTTTATCTTCAAGTTTTCTTTAGTAGGCCCTGAAAACCGAAAATATATCAAGCTTTAATTTTTGCTAAGATTTTCATTATTAGTTCCAAATTCGTGTTGTAAACACGTAAAAAATTTGTACAAAATTTACATTATTATTTTGTTAGGTGTTCTCCAAAGCGCAATCCACATTACAATCTTAACTTTTAAATTCAATTAAAATTACTTCACCTTGGCCATATACCAAACTTAAGCTTAAAAAATCGTAAGTATTTAAGAGTAAAATAGGGAGAATCTGTACAATAAAAGTCTACTTTTCAGGATATGTGCTGCGGTCCAGCTGGTTGGTGTTCTTTCTGTGGTCCTCCGTGTGGCGGACCCTGCAAGCAAGTCTGTTGTATTGAGATGTGTTACTCGCCCTGCACCCCGGCCTACTTGCAATGTGGATGCTGCTTTAATTGAGTATTGAGTATTTGTAACATAATAATAATGTAAAACAAAAAAAAAGTAAATAAAAATTGCGTAAATAGTTGCTGTACATTTTAGAAACTAGCTACGAAGTACAAAACAACTTCTTTCACCAAAATGAAGTACATATCGCAAAATATCTTCTAGAATGAGGGGCAAGATTGCATTGAAAAGTAGCAAAAGACACAACTATATCGAGTCAGTGATGCGAATAGAAAATATATATGTCCAAATAGTAATAAGTAATAGTAAATATATATCCAAAATAATAGTAACCTTTGCAAGGATGTAATAGTGGGTTTAAGATCCATATATGAATGATCTGTAAAGCATAACAGTTAGCGATAAGTTCGAATACTCAAATCAAAACAGCCCGACTAGGAAATAACCTAAACCGAGGATAACATTAGTTTAATAAATATTAAAGTACGTTATGATTGACAAAACCTATATCCGCGAAACGGATGCAGTTATAGTTAAAATGGGCTTTTCTTCAATAGTTATAGTTTCTGAAATCGGCTTGCTTATACAGACGAACATAGCCAAATCGCCTCGACAGTTGGCGATGATCAAGACTATATACCGTATGAAGTCGAAGATACTTTCTTCTGCCTATAACATAAATGGTTCCAGGATAAAAAAAATCAAAGATTTGATAATTCATTTTAATATTATTAATATGTCTTGCGCTGGATTATATGCATACTGTGACTTTATCAATCTTAAACTGAATGTGAGTGAAAGTATCTCGATTGATATGACTACTGTCCAGTCGAAAATACACGATGCTTCATTACTAGATTTCTGAAAAACTCCAATAGGCCTTGCTTTAGTATCCAGTGCCAAGCTTTGAAAAAAGGGATTGCTTCAGTTTCTAGGCAAAACTCTAGCTGAAAGTTAAGATCAAATTCTCGGTCGCCAGTAAACAGATTGTAGCCGAATTGCTTTGGTGAGTATTTTTAAATTTTCCAATAAAATAGAATCACATGCACCAAATTTCAGAAGATCATCCTTGATCACCAGCATGTGCTGCCAAAGTCGCTTCTACCGGGAAACGCCCTGTGTCCAGTGTTGCCTCATCGACTGCAGCTACTGCTGCTATCGCACCAGCTGCGCCGGACCCTGTGGTCCATGTGGCACCGGGAGTCCTTGTGGCCCCTGCTGTGGCGGAGCCACCGGCGATTTGAACTATAAATATTCCTTCTTTGGTCTGCACTTGCTATAACTGTGGAAAATCTGCAGTGGCCCATGGAGAAGCTGGTGATGAACGGCCTCATTTAGCCACAAATTATTGGTTGTCCAAAATTATATGTGAATCGAATTATTTGAATAATATTTTATAAATATTTATTTATTGAAGCGCAATAATACCTGTACTTACTTTCTTTTTCAATGAAGCCACGTGTTAATTTATTAAAAACGAAATTATTTATTTTGTTTTTGTTTTGTTTTTTAGTGATGGAAATAGAAAATTGTACAATACAATTGCTGTTGTTGTTGTTGTTGCTGTTTGTCTTTTATTATTACTGTTACACAACATTTTTTAAATGTTAATTAATACAATATATAATAATAATAATAATTACATTTTTAATTATGTACTTCGAAAATTGTGGCCCCTAAGCATTTAAAAGACTTTTATATTTGCTTCAAGTTCTGGTTGGTTGTTGTTGGTTTTTTTTTTTAGTTTTTTTTTAATATTCTTTTAATTGTTTTTTTTTTCTTTTTTTCTTTGTTGTAATCGAGTCGAGTACAATATCAATCAAATTCATACAAATTAGTTCATATCGAACTTATTTTTTTTTCATTTCGTTTCCATTCGCGCAAATTGCTAAAGTTTCAGTTTTTTATTGGTGTATAAAAATATTTGTATATATTTTACCATTTTAGCGTGTTACCGTTATACTCTTTTTACCATTCTTTTCCTCTTACACATTAGAATAATGAGTGTTGTCGTTTATCTTGATTTTTTTCTCGTTTTTTTTTAGTATCATTTATGCATACAATTATAATCGTAATAATAATAGTTTAATGAGTTAATAACGTTCACATTTATTACATCGGTAATCCGTATTCGATATACATAATTATTACGGTTCCATTATGCATATATATATGTATATATATATATATATATAATTGTATGTATATGTAAGTTATGTATTTAATTAATTAGCTTGTTCATGCTGTTGCTTTCAAGTACATAATAATAAAAATATGAATACATAAAAATATACTCCGAGTAAATGCTTTTCATATGCGTTTAGTTCTTGAGAATTGCTGTGCTTTTATTGTGGGCTTTAAGTACTTAAGTTGTATGGGTAAAAATTACATATGCAGGGTGTCCACTGTGCTACTCAGAGCGAATAGAGAAGGAGAGTGTGTGTGTGTGTGTGTGAATGTGTGTTTGTGTTTGTTTATTGGCAGTTAAATAGTTAGTTAGTTATTCAGTTGAAATTCAAATCATAAGCAATACTGAATGAGTTTAGTGATTTGTATCTGTATCTGTATCTGTATCTGAGTGTGTTTGTGTGTTTGTGTGTATCTGAGATGTTAAAAGATTGTTTGTAGAGTACTCTACTATATGCATTATATAAGAAAACAGTGTGCATATAGTATGCATTGGTGGGTGTGTGTGTTTTTCTTTTATTTTCATTTTTTATATCGTTTTTCATTTCCTCATTCCGTTTTCTCAACTCATTAACATAAATTTAACAATTTCCCGAAACAGCCAAGAGAGCGGGCGACATCCAAAATGTATTTGGTTTTTTTGGTATGTCGACCCATCATCACTCCCATTGATATATTATTTACCTTTCAGTCCATTAGTCCATTTTTTCTTTGTATTTTCTTTATTTGTTTTTGTTTTTTTTTTTTGTTAATTTTTTGGTTTTTTGTTTTTGCTTTAACAAACTTTCATTCACATTAAAAAACTAAATTTGAGCGAAATATGCTTTAACTAAGAGATGTGTGTTTCTTTTGTTTTTTGTTTTTGTTTTTTTGTTTTGTTGTGTTTAGAAGAAATAACCATATAGAAAACATGTTTTTATAGTAAAAAATAGGCATCCATATATATGTGTGTATGTGTGTATATGCATCTGTGTGTGTGTGTGTGTTTTTGTATGTATATAAAGCCATTTAGCAACACCCTGTATACTATGTTTATTTTTTAAAATTCAACTTGATGTTCGTTTTGTTCTTAGCAGAGAGTTCAATGGTCAAATCAATGGTAAAATGTTAAGTTTATAGAGTAAAAATGCTTAAAACGTTTGCTAAAACATATCAACTTAATTGTAACGACATTTAACATTAAATTGGTGTTTCAATTTTTTTTTTGTTCTGTTTTGTTTTTTTTTTTAGTTTTTTTTCTTTTGTTTTGTTTAATAATTATAAAAATACATATGTATATTGACATATAATAATTTGTAAAATGACTAGATGATGATTCCATGATCTGCACTATATCTAGGATGTAAGTATGTATGTATTCGTATATATACTAGATGTAAATGCATGAATATGACTGTATAAGCTAACAAATTTGCATATGTCAATTAGAATTCTTAGCAAATTTCATTGTAAATGTGTGTGTGTGTGTGTGTGTATGTATTGGTGTGTGCGGTTCGACCGTAGAGACTCATTACACTAGATCTAGTAATTTGCAATACTTTCATATTATTTATCTTTTTTTGAGTCCCAAAATTGATTTAAATTATTTATGTATGTAATTATTTAATTACAAAAACGTAAACATCCAATTGGCAATAGGTAATCAAGATGAAAACAACTTCAACGTAAAGTTCAATAGACGAAAAAAGCAGTGCTGAATAATGGAATGAATAAAATAGATATTTCATAACTGCATCAAACATAACCTAAAACTTGATTTTATAATATATCATAATCGTTTGTTCTTTAGTATAATTTCGCTCAATTCAATTGTAAATCAATACAATTTGTGTATTCTGGCTGGAGGATTCGGTCTGCGAAGCTGTTGTGCATTTTACGCGACACTGCAAATAAAAAAGTGCAAAACAAATGATATTTGTGTGTGTAAATAAATAAAACAACGCAAATCGGTTTCGTTTCTTTTTTTCTTTTCGTTTCTTTTTTTTTTTTTGAAAACAACTCAAATAACTTTAATCTTTAATTGATATACAAACAACGAACAAATATTGTAATAGCAAAGAAATACAAAAATACGTAGTTAATACCATTTGTAAAAATAAATACTAATATTCAATGGAAATTGAAAACAAAATGTATACAAACTATAAAATATATATTTATGTATGTAGTTACAAGGAGAAAAATCAACTTATTGCAAATTTATTAACAATTTCTAATGTTTTTTTTGTTTTGTTTTTTTTTTCTCTTTTATTTATTTTTTATTTGATTTGTCATGCTGACTTGATCTATGCATGTGTGTGAGCATAGTACATAGTTTAGGTAAGTAATGCTTACTATTAAATGCTTGAAGATGCGTATAAATATTTTTTAAAATACAAATACAAACTACAAATGCTTGGATATGAATGTGTTGGTAGTCTTCAATAGGAAGTATAAGCAGCTAACAACAAACAGTTATGTATATGCACTCTATATATATTAAATGTAATGTATTACATGTATACATATATATATATATATATATATATATATAACTATATACTATAAATATTTTTTTTATTACTTTTCCATTGGTTCTTACAAATAGAAAATATGCTGAAAATTGTGTGTTCTGTTTCTGTTTCTGTTCTGTTCTCATCATTTGTTTCTTCGTCTTGCGCGCAAAGTAAAAGATGCCTTGAAGCGATAGTTTTTCAGATTTCAGATTTAATAGTTGAAGTGAGAAAAATGAAGCATTTGGCATAAGAAATAAACTAACAGAAAGTGTGTGTTTTTCTTCTTTTTTTTTGTTGAAAATTCCCTAAACGAGTCGCATTCCAATTTTCATAAAATTTATGTTTTTATTTTTAATTGTTTTTTTTGGTTTTCTTTTCTTTTTTTTTTTTTGTTTCACGTTTACGTTTTCGAAGCAGTCTAAGATTTTGTTGTTTCTTATTCTTTGTTTGAGTGTCATAAAAAATGTGGTAAATATTAAGTTCACTACTAATTCCTTAAAGACACAAGCCACACATGTATTTAGGTAAGTACATGTGTATGTTGTTGTTGTTGTTGTTGTAGTTGTAAGTATGTATGTATGCATATGTATAGATATATATATATATATATATAATCATATATTAGCAACATTTTAAATATATATATATATATATATATATATATATATATGTATATATAGATGTATGTATATATATAGTAGTATATGTATATTTATGTGTAAATGTTCTCGTGTAAAAATCAGTCATAGTTAATTGTTTATCAATTATGTTCGCATACATCTACTGCATGTGTGTATGTGTGTGTGTGTGTGTGTGTGTGTGCATAGCTACACCCACTCGCACACACACAAACACACACACAGAGAGAGAGATGCATGCATTAATGCATTACTATGTATGTAATTATGTATGTTGTTGTTTGTTGTCCATTTTAAGAGTTTTATGCATTTGCGAGTTAATATTATGCTTTTGTTTTTCTCGAATTGAACTTGTATTTTAATTTAATTCTTATGCATGTAAATCGTAATCTTAGATTGAGAAAACTATGGGCGACAACAACAATGAAAAATTGTACATATGTATGTATGTATGTATGCATGTTATGTATGTATGTCTATGTCTATGTATGTATGTCGACAAACAGACAGACACTACGCAAAAGCAAGCTTTTAATAATTGTTGTAGGTAATGTTTTAAAAATATACTCATACATTTATTGGCATGTATGTATATATGTATGCATGTATGTATGTATGTATGTACGCATGTATGTTTGTATGCATAAGTAATTGTTATAATTGGGTTCTCTAACATTTAACATTCTCGTTTCCTGCCTGGGGAGACTTATCTACAATAAATACGCATAGCATGTTTGTATATATTATAATATTATTGTAAGTAGTTTGCGAGTTGAATTCATTCTCTATGCTGACGGATAATAGAACTTTAGCTTTAGCTGCCTACTAACAAAATAAAGTAAAGAAAACACTCAAATTGTCATACATTTCGTCGTGTGTATGCAATTCTCTTGCTGAATTTCATTGGATGCCATTTTAGTTTTCACTATGTTTTTGTATATAGTCTAATAATACTTAAAAACACTTCTACGAAGCCAGTTTGAATTTTGTTTATTAGTTCGCTGCTGCTGCTTGTCAATATCGATTGCGTTATCGTCATCGATTCTGATTCTTATTCTTTCTCATTTTTATATTTTTGCTTATTCATGTACACAATCTAAATTCCGTACAAAATGCTCAACAATGCGCCGAATACGCAAATTTATTATTTTTATTTTTATTTTCGTTTTCGTTATGGCTTTTGCTTTATGTTTTGCGTATGCTTTTGCTTATCATATCGCTTTGATTTGCGGTTCATTTTGTTTCGTTTGCTTAATAACATTTATCAAAAATATAAACTACATTAAAAATTATTTCTGCATATCCGTTTCATGTACACGGGCTCATCATCGTCATCATCCTACATCTATTTAACTTGTGCCGACAGTCTCAACCTCAAAACTCAAACTCAACTCCAACCAACACCAAACTAAACCATTGCCCTATTTAATATGTATGGTATATGTATATATGCATGTATGTATGTATGTATGTATGCATGTATATGTTATATGTAACCGACTTTGGACTGCTGTTAAATTAAGATAGTTTGTTTGTTTTTTTTTTCAGATTTAATATTAGTGTAACATTCATAGCCTAACAATGAAAAAGTGTTGCCTACTCATCATCAGCAGACTTTATGCTTATTTCTATGCCTTCGATTATCGATCGAAATCAGTTATCGCTGATGATTTCGATAATTCAATTTCATATTCAATCTTGGTGGTAGTGGTGAGTGAAACGATTAATGATTTTCAAACGAGGCGGCGCCCAAAACTAATCACAAATGGCGGCACACGCATACCAACTACATTTAGTTAATGATTTTAACATACATATATGTAAATATGTACATAGTATATATATATAAATATAAATAGATGGGGTATATGCCTTAAAATTCACGAATGCCAAACCCGAGCTGCGTGGTTATCGCTTATCGGTTATCGATAATCCACTCGAGCCATGGCTTTTCCATTTGTATGTGTAATTATGTGTATATTTAAGAGAGCACAGTTAATTGGCGGTATAAAAAGTTTACACATTAATGGTGTAATTTTTTTTTGTTTTTCTTTTTTTTTTTAATTTTTGGTTTGTTTGAAAAAAATACATATTTTTAAAATGTTCAATATGTGTCTGTATGTATATAGATTTATGTATGTATATATGCATATATATATATGTATATATATATATAGTTTACTTTTGATAGATAGCGCACAATGTGTTATAGTTACACGATTTAGCTTACATAAATATGTTTTGGGCTTTAGTTCTTTAAATATATATACCTATACAAATATATATATTTAAAAAATTGTTACATATCCATTTTGCACAGTCTATTAGATTCTCAATTCATCAAAATTGTTATCAACATACATTTATATCATATATATATATATTTTTTTTTGTTTTTAGAGTTAAATTTTTTAATTATCAATTTGTTGTTTTGTTTTTCTTTTCCATTTACACAATGCAATCAAAATGCATCTCTTGAATGTTCTGTATGTGGGGGAGGGGGCGGGGGAAGCGCAAGCGAAAAGGCGCGCAAGCGAGCGAGCGAGAAGGAGAGAGAGGAATGTAATGTACAATACGCCTGCATGGGGCCAACTGTAACTGCACTGTTATCATCTGTTAGTTAACAGCGGCACGCGTTAACATCATGTTAAGGGCACAAACAAAATGCCAAAGAAAAAAAATCAAACGATAAATGAAAACACAAAGCAAGTTGTTTTTTTTTCTTTTGTCGGAATATATATATAAAAAATCATTTAATTATGTACTTTTGTGGCGGTTTACGTGTGGTTGGTTGTGTATTAGTATTTTAAATTTACAACAATTTGTATTATGCATTTAAAAAGTGTCGCTTGCATTTGATGTTAATAATAGTAATAATAATATTAATGTTATTTGTGTCCCTTTTTTTTGTTGTGTGTAACATTTAAAAATGTAATAATAAAATGTAATAGTAAACATAAAAAACAAATAAGCACAAGTCAAATAGTCGGCTGGTTTCTTTCATTTTTTGTTTTGTTTTTTTTTTCTTCATTTTTTTGTTGCTTTTCTTTGCATTATTGTTGCTGCTGGTTGTTTTTGTTGTTGTGCAAGTGTCAATACTCTAATATAATGAATAATAATAATAAATTAAATAGTTGTATGCACACACATATATAAATGTACACATGTATATATGTATATATATATGTGTATATATATGTTTTTTAGGCCATAATAAATACCATAAATTAGCAGTTTCGCTTTCGTGTATGATTAACAATTTTATGTATATAAAAAATTTTCAACAGTTTCAGTTTTGGTGTCAAGTAAAAAGTTCTCACAAGAAATTTACAATACTTTGTTTTACCGTTCCATTAGAGCTAAACACACACAATTATAATTACAATTACAATTACATATTACATATTACAGATTACATATTAAATTACAGTACATGAATTAATTAGTTTATAGTTTACAACAAGCATTAAAACTAAGAACTGCCCCTTTGCGATGCAGAGCACATTACAAATACATACAAATACACACATACATATACACTACTATCTGGGTAGGGTATATTATGTGTTGTATATTATGTATTGTTGTTTTGTTTTTTGTTTTTAAACTACCTTTTAATAATCTCACTTAAGTGAAAAACGAACGAACGTCAAATTCTAAAATGCAAATTACTAAACAATATTCAAGCGTTTTTCAAAAACAAATCATACGAAATAATAAAAAGAAACAATAAGCAAAATTATAAAATTAAAATATAATAAATTCTAGTACATATGCGTAAAATTTTGGGGAGGGGCCCAAGCATAATCCAACAAATATATATATATATATATAATTTCCATATATATAGACTGATTTTACTCAGGATTTTGTAAATTATAAAATAAACATTTTTTAAATGCTGTTCCTGTTACTGTTGCGTTTGTAGTCTCAAAAGTTCATACAGTTGCTCTATGATTTATTATTTATTTTATTTTTAATTTGTTATTATTATTATTATTTTGTTGAATCTATTTTCACAAATCGATTCTAACCGTGCGAACTGTGTATTATTTAAATTTAATTGGAAAACAAACTCAGCAACGGCTAAAAATTCAAGTAAGTTTTTAAGATCTTTTTTCGGCATTGATTTCGAGCTTGTGTTTTAGAAAAGAATAAGTTGTTATTTTCTGTTACTCTCCCACATTAATAAGAATTTCGATTAATTGAGATTTTATTTTATACTTAAGTTGCTTCAATTTAATACATATATATATTTATAAACATATATATATATAGTAATCATTTATAATAATAAATTGTTTAAGTCTTCTGCGCTGATTGCCAACCATTTTTACTGTTATTCATATTTCTTCGTCATCATCGTTTTTGCTTGAATTCATTTAATATATATTTAAAGTGTGTGTTTTAATGTTTTCACAGCAGCAAAAACATTATCTAATATTATTTGAAATTTTCATACTCATGCTAATGAATAAAAAATGTTTTTGTTTTGTGTTTAATTTGATGCACACTACCAACAAAAATAATTAAATAGCAATTCCAATTTGTAATTTTAACAACAATTAGAAAATTCTCGGATAAGCCAAAAGCTTAAATGCTAAAAAAAAAAAACAAACGCTAAACAAACACAAAATAAAATAAATAAACACTTTGTTGCACACACACACACACATACAAACAACTACATATATATATATATATATATATATATATGTATATGTACGTATGTGTGTCGGTCAACAGTTAAGAACAATAATTTTAGCTATTTTTCAGTGCGTTTAGTTCGTGTTTTTAAAAATTAAGAAGCGGCAATGTCTGTTTTTTGTTTTGTTTTGTTGTTGTTTAAGTATTAGTTATTATTTGTATATGTTGTAGTCGTTTATGTATTTATGAATAATAATAATAATAAAACAATGAAACATAAAAACTAAGCGAGTATAAAAAAGTTGTGTTTTGTTGGTCTGGTTTTGTTGTTGTTGTTGTTGTTGGTAAAAAAGTAGCAAACATTTTATAATAGTTTCAATAATTAATAATAATAATAATAATAAGTTGTAATAATAATCAAAATACATATATGCATATAAATAATCAGTTATCAGTAATCAATAAGTTTACAATCAAAAAATAATTTATAAACATAAAAAACAGTTCAATATATATATATCAAATTTTCTCATCATTTTCTTTTCGTTTTTTTTTTTTTAGTTTTTGTTGTTGTTTTTATATGCAATCAAAAAGAATAACAAACAATTTGCGTCTTATGCCTAAAATTACAATCAATAAAATATTTATTTATGCTCGATCTACTTGTGTAAAATTGTTGAAGCAGTTATTAAAAATTATCTTTTGTTTTCTTCGATTCTTTTTTTTTGTAGTTCTTTATATTTTAAGATTTTTTTTTTTTTTTTTGTTTGCCTATGCAACGAGACGAGCGAACATAAAAAAGTGGAGGGATTTTCTTGCTGGTGTTTTTTGTGTATTATTTTATAAAACGAAAAGTTATTAATTAAAAAAAAAAGAGACTTTTGCAACGGCCAAAATGGCGACATTTGAGTTTTTTCTTCTTTTAACGAATTAAACAAAAATACTAATACACAAATACATATATAAAATATAAAAAAAAACACATCAAGTCTTAACATGGTGTAAAAAACAAAATTCAACAATAATTTAAAAAGGTAATAATAAAAATATAGTTAGGTATACAATATAATATATTAATATAAAAGAGAGAGACAGATTGAGAGAGAGAGATAAAGAGAGTTCTTTCTATTTGCTATGAGAAAGGCAGAGATAAGAGAGAGAGAGAGAGAGAGAGAGGTGGGGGGTGGTATAGAAGACGAGATAGACAGCGACAGACTAAATTGAGAGAGAGAATCGCGCGCGCAAGTCAGAGTTGCCAACTTGTTATCTAAATTCTAAATATTATTTTGTTTTTCTTCTATTATTTGTAGTTTGATTTCGTTTTTGTTTTGTTTTTGTTGTTGTCTGTTTTTTTTTTGTGAATGGGGTCTGTCTGGGAATTTTGGGGGGTGTTTGTTTGGGAGGGAGGCTCTCTGCTTACATACCCACAGGCGCCAGTTGCACATAGCGATAGATATAGAGGCGATAGTCCTTGCTGGCTAGCACAACACTGCCATCATCCATGAGCGCCACATCGAAGCACTGTGCATGCTTCACTTTTGACTCCAGCGCCGAGATCAGCTGACCGTCCTGCGTGAATATGGTCAAATTGAAGTTGTTGTGATTGTCCGCAATTAGTATTTCGCCATTGGCATTGATGCCAACACCAATCGGATAATTGGTAATGCCCTCGCCACCAATCTGTCGCAGATATTGCCCCTCATAGTTGAAGACTTTGACGCAATGCGCCCGATTGTCACTGATGAAGATCTCCTGCTTATCGTTGACCACCACCCCGTTGGGGAACTCCAAATGCTTCGAGCAGCCAAACTTGTGCAACACGTTGCCATTCTGATCAAAGATAATCACACGCATCACCTTGCACTCAACGACAATGATCCGTCCCTTATTATCAACGGTCACGCCACGCGGATGTTGCAAGATGGTCGCACCAAATTTACGCACAAATTGTCCATATTGATTGTAGATCTGTATCTGATGCGTCGGCGAACGTTCGGTGACAATAATATCACCCGAATTGCGAACAACAGCCACCCGATTCGGATAGAGGAGCTGCGAGTCACGTTTGCCGCACTCGCCAAACTGGAACTTGAAGCGTCCCTCCTTGTCAAAGATCTGGATGCGATGATTATTCGTATCGGCCACAATGATATCGTTCTGGGCATTGACAGCAACGCCACTCGGCTCCGTAAATTGTCCCTCCATGACGCCAAATTCACCAAATTTGCAGTGATAGATCATCTTCTGACGCTTGATCTGCGACTTGGGTGGATAGATGGAGGCCGACAGCAGTTTGTTGGTCAAGTCCAAAAGAGATTCACTGCTGACAGCGCTATTGTTGCTGCTCCCATTCAAATTGACCGACGACAGACTGGCAAAGGCATCAACAACAGCCGAGCTGCTGCTGCTGTTGCCATTATTCCCAACATTGCCAATTGTGGCCGCCGACGATGTGTTGAACAAGTTATCGCTGCCACCGTTGCTCCACTTCTCGTACGGATTATAGTGGGACATGCTTGTGGCACGCTTCGGCAACAGTTCACCAAAATGCTGTTGCAAATCATTGTTGAGATTACGTTCACGACCGCCCAGCAACAGGCAATTGCCGCCATTTGTATAGTTGTTGCTGCCATTGCTGCTGCTGTCCAAAAGGCTGCTCAGGCCCAAGCCAGGCAGCAACTGTTGCTGCTGCTGCAACTGCAAGTGTTGTTGCTGCTGCTGCTGCTGTTGCTGCTGCTGCTGATGATGATGATGGCTGCCTGCGCTGCTGGCGCTACTGTTGCTCGCACTCTGTGTGGGCCGGGCAATTGGCGGCTGTTTGCTGTGTCCATGACCATGTCCGTGAAGCACATGACCGTTGTGACTGTGACCGTTGAGATGGTGACCGCTGCTGTGACCCAAACTCAGGCTCGATTCCGAGCAGTTGCCACTGTTGGAGCCGGCAGCTGCAGCAGCCGCAGCCGCAGCAGCACCATTACTGGCGCGTATGTAGCCAAAAGTGTTGCGAACACCAGCCTGTATCGATTGATAGTTGGACATGAACTCCAGCTCGAAGGGCAATTGCATATCCTGGACGCCGGTCTGCAGCTGCTGTTCGAGCGTTTTGCGCAGAAGGAGCGCCTCGGCGAGCAGGGGCGATTGGATGCCACCGCCGTTGGTGGGGGAACGCTCGAGAGCCTCGCAGGCGGCGAGACCCTTGTCAATGCTATCCTTGGCCCGTTGCAGCCAGATGGCATTGCTGTTGACCTTGGCCGTGAACAGAGATTCCAGTTCCTTGAGCAGCTCCGTTTTGCGCTCATCCAGCATGGAGGCAAAGAACTGATGCGTCTCGTTCAGCTCGTTGTGGGCCTTCGAGTACTGCAGCTTGACCTTGGACACATTCTGCTCGGCACTGCCGGCAATGGCAACAATCTCACCAATCTTGCCACGCATATCGGCGAGCAGCGTTTGCAATGCTGCCTCGTTGCCAGCTGATGTGGCTGATGCTGCTGCTGTTGCTGCTACTGCTGCTACTGCTGGCGATTGGACATTCTCCAGCTCGTGCAGTCCGCTCGAGTGCTCGAGGACAATGCACTCCTTGCACACCAGAGTGCAGCAGGTGCGGCAGCTAAACTTTAATAGCTCATGTTTGTGGCGTGCACAGAAAAGTTGTCGCTGTTGCTGTTGCTGCTGCTGCTGTTGTTGCTGCTGCTGCTGTTGCTGTTGCAAGTGTGTTGCATAGAGTGTGTCGTGTTGCTGCTGCTCCTGTGAGTTGTTGGCTGCCGCTGCTGCTGCCAGCACAATCTTTGACAGCTGCGACATTGGCTGTTGCGGCTGTGTCTCTGTCAATTGTGATTGCTGCTGCTGCTGTTGATGTTGTTGCTGCTGTTGCTGCTGCTGTTGCGCCAGCATCATTGTTAGTGAACTGGCATATTTAAAATCGCTCGATGCTGGATTGTTGCTGCTGTTGGTCGTGTTGCTGATGCCGATGCCGCCGCTGCTCGTCGCCTCAAAGCCCTTAATCAGGCAAACATTGTGGCCGTTGAAACAGTGCATAAACTCGTGAGCCGTCACACAATTGGCGCACAAATAGCTCTGGCAATCGAAGCATTTGGCCACCGCATCGCTGCATTTGCTTTTGCATGCGGTGCAACGTGCGGCAGACAAACTGTTGGTGCCACTGCTGTTGTTATTGTTGCCATTGTTGCTGTTGTTGTTGCTGCTGCTGTTGTTGCTGCTGTTGTTGCTGTTGTTGCTGTTGCCTTTGCCAGCGCCAACAACGAGACTGCTGATGCTATTGTTGCTGCTGTTGTTGCTGGGTAAATTGCTGCCAATGACGCCGGGACCATTGCTGGTCACCACATTATTGGAGCCGCTGATGACGCTGCTGCTGGTGCTGCCGCAGCCGCTGAGGCCGCTGGTCGATGAGCTGGACGACGACGATGATGACGACGACGATGATGATGACGAGGAGCAGGATGATGAGCTGGCCGATGAACTGGACGACACTGATGCCGAGATCGGATGATGCCCATTGATGACAGTCACATCCTGGCGCACCTTAACACTCACTTGACTCCCAGCAATATTATACTCATCACTGCATATGGCCGAATCACTCGTCGGCGGCGACGAGCCGCTCAACGTCAGCGGCGAGTCGGATAGATAGCCAGCATGCTCGTAAGATTCAATCGAGTTGGCACCACGCATGGAGTCCAGTGATGGTGTCGGCGACGACGCCATCATTCCTACTCTCTCTCTCTGTTGTCCGTTTGTTGTTGGTTGTTGTTGTTATTGTTGTTGATCTCCTCTGCCTCTGCCTCTTCCCCTGCTTCTGTGTGTGACTGATAATTTAGACTAAAATTGCCGCCACTCAAACACCTGCACATAGAAAGAGACAAAGAGATAGAAAATAAGATAATAAATATATATTAAAGCCTATATATGAGATTATTTAATATTCAGGCTTTACAACAACTTAAATTAAACACATTGAACTCTTAGTTAGACGCTGATTGGCCAATAAAGCCAACTCACTTTGGCCACGAGTGCTAACGTATTCCGCATACTAATCCGAGATCAGAAGGATCTGTACCTTAGGAGTTTGGTGTTTGGAGTAAGGAGCTTCCCAGAATGTTTAAGCCTTTACTGGCAAGTGCCAGCTTCCCTTCACCGCGTTGGATATTTTTCCCTACTCCCGCAGCAGTCCCTTTGAAATACAGGCACTGTGCTCCATTCCGTGGCTTGGAGACCCCCGAAATTGCTTGAAGAGTGACAGAGCAAGTGATGAATCGATTCCTCATCTCCTTCATCAAAGCGGCTTCTGCAGAAGTCACCGTAAGCGGGTTGCACGAATACCAATCAACCAATGTCCATTGGTAGTTTGGATAAACACGAGGTATTCCAGGTAATGATTGATTTCCACTTCCACTGTTAGCTTGGAACTCGAAGGCTTGCACGTGGCCACAACCATTTTCACACCTTGTTTTGTCTCTTCTTGCCTGCCCAACTCATCGGCGCAAGTGCAACAACTTAGTAGTCAAAAAATAAATAAATAAAGTGGCCGAAAGAACCTAAACTGATTTATTTGGTAAGTGTTTGTTGATTCTATATTCAGATCCTTACCACTACAAATTTGCCTACAAAAGTGTGACTCATTTGAAAGAAGTTGCCAACAGAATTTGGTTTAAATAAATTAAACTGATATCTTAATAATGTGTAACAAATGAATGAGCAAGAAAAGTATTTCAATGGCAACATTATTTATTTCCAATCAATTAAACTGATTGAATTTCATCATCTCACATTCGTTGGGTAAATAAGAGTAGACAGAAATGTTTGTTATTTAGTTGTTAGGTGCATGCCTTATGGGACTTAACCAAACTCCAAGTTCTACCACCCCGCCCCCCTTCGTGTTGTGTGTGACTCAGCAAAAATTTGTATTTTGTGCCCCTCACTCAAAAATTATGATTCACCTTTGTTCTGTTTAACATAATTTGTTGTCTAATTGTCCCTCTCTGTAATCCCCATTTAACCCACATGCTCGCTAACCTTTTCACCCCCTCTCTCTCTCTCTCTCTCCCTCGCTCAATCACTCGCTCCCCATTCCCTGCCACTTTTGCCAAATGGAAACAAAGTGCTTTTTAACGCAATTCGAGGCTGTATCCCCCCTTCAGCCTACCCTCTAAGTGAGTCTCCCCCTCGTTGTCATTTGTAGACGTCATCCTAGCAACCCCCTTTGCTGCCTACTAGAAGTCACTACTAGTCTCTCCTTCAACTCACAACTTCGGCCATCAACAGGAAATGCAATAATCGCACGCACAACGGGAACCACCCCTCCATCTGTCTTCTCTTCTCAGCGCGACAGCTTGAACTACTTGAAGAGGGTGCCACACAACCCCTCGGATAGACAGACAGACAGACAGTCCGACAGGCAGGCAGGCAGTCAGGCAGGCAGGCAAAAAAGTAAACAAGCGACGAGGAACTTTTCTAGATTTCCATTTCCACCACACACACACACATAGAAAGAACATCCGTCAACAAAATCGTCAGTCGCAAGAAGTTGGAAGTGAAAGCAAAAACACCAAAGCCAAAAACCCCGTAACGAAATGAAACGAAAATCAACCCTCGACAAAAAGCGACCAGTGAAGCGGCAAGGCAACAAAGCGACTCCCCCTACCACCCACCTAAATAAAGGGTGGGGTTATAGGGGGGGTGGTGGTGCAACTGTCTAGACTGAATGTGTACATTTGTCACAAACACACACACACACGGTATATACCATTATACATATACATATATATATATATATATAAGAGGCATTGACTTACCTTAGTTATTTGTATTTTTCCGTCTATTTTTATAAGTTTTTATTTTGTTTTTTTTTTTCTTTTTTATTTGTTTTTCGTTTTTCTTATCATTTGTTTAATGCATTCACTTTTAATGCTGTCGGGGGGAAAATGCTGCCAATTTGGCGTTTTATGGTCCTTTTTGTTGTTGTTGTTGCTGTTGATCTCCTTCTTCTTCTTGTGGTTCTTTGCAGCACTTCCTCTCGTTGTTGTTGTTGTAGTTGTTAATGTTATTATTATTGTTATTTTTCTTGTTGTTGTTGTCGTCTGTGCAGCGATAACAAGTTGAATATTTTTGTATCATACTTTTTGGGTGCTGCCAATATCAGTTGCCAATTTCAATAAATGTTGCGCGCACAAAATGCTGCAATGAAAAACAAACGCAAAACAAACACGTTTAAATTATGAATTCTTTTTCTTTTTTCTTTGTATCAACTAATATCATGTAATATATATATATATAGTATTTCTAGTGGATTAATAATTGCCCATGCACTTTTCACAATGTGTTTTTCTCGGGAGGAGCCGCCGACGCGACAACAGAGACAAGAAGGACAATGAAGAAAACGCGACGCGTTTGCGACGCAGCTCCGTGCAAAACTAAACTTTGCGCATTATTCAGCGACCCGGGTAAAGCTGCTTCTTGCTGCGTCGACAGCGCTGCTGCTGCTGCTGTTGCTCCTGTTCATACTACTGCTGCTGCTACTGCCACTGCTACTGCTGCAGAGAGCGTAGTCTTGTCTGTCTGTCTCTGTGTGTGTCCTTTGGCCGGGCACAGGCAGAGCGACCGACGACAGAACAGCACAGTAAAAATGCAACGCTGCACGGTGCATGCAACGTCTGGGCGCAAAAATGAAGGGAATTTAATCCAACAATGCGAAAAATCAATATTCATATTTACCGTACTTCTCTATACACACGGAACAAACTCGCACACACACACGCACACACAAAAGAGAGCTAGTTGTGTATGTGAGTGTGTGTGAGAGAGAGCGAGTGAGCGAGATGGAGCAGCAGCAGCAAATGCCGAACTGTTGAATGCCGGCCCAAACCGGCCCAATAATTAATTTTCAGCCCCCACCAACAACAACAACAGCAACAGCAAGCAACCCCTAAAACAATATGGCGTCCTCGGCCAGTCACCCACTCAAACCTCAAAAACTAAAAGCAACAATTTTCCATGCGCTACAGGTTGCGCGCTCAGAGGAAGCGAGAGAGCGAGAGCGCGAGAGGTGAACGAAATATAACAGGAAGCAAAACAGTGCAAACGATAAACCGATAACATAAGCATGCTCTCTCGCTCTCTCTCTCTCATTCTTTCTGGAGCTCTCTGTGCGCATGTTTTTTCGAATGTTGGGCAACGACAATGACCGCAACACACAAACAAAAGCAATAACAACAGAATGCGCTCTCCACTTCTAACGGTGATGTGTGGGCGACAGAGAGAGTGCGAGATAGATAGAGAAAGAGCAGCAGCAGCATAAATTTTCCGCCCATGTCACTCTGCCGCCGACCCCAGAACTTTCTCGTCGATTTCGAGCAGCAGCCGCAACAGCAGCAGCAGCAGCGAACAGAGAGCATCACACCGGTTGCAGCACTGCCAGCACAACAGGAGAAGTTCTTCTTCCCTTTTGGCTTTCTGCTTTTTGTCACTGCATGGAAATTGCTAGCAATGAGACAAACAAGCAAACATCAGCATTGCATTGCATTGCACGCACACACAGGCATACATACATATGCTATACATGTTAGCATGTCTACACTTGTGTATGTGCATGGCAAAATTTCTCTACATATGTATGTAGACAAAATAGTCAGACGACGCTTACATATTTACATATGGAGAGCAATAATTACATTTGCATGCGTCGTATGTGAATCAGTTTAAGCATGTGTGCAGCAAGCAGCGAGCAACTTTTTGCCAGCGTTGCCAACTGTTGCAAATCATGCCAAGCTTAAATGGGATAAAACCTTTCATCAATTTATAAACATTTGATTTAGTCTCAATTCAAGAGGACTTATCTTAATTATTAAAAACGATTTTCGATTAACAAATGCAAAATAATAAACAATAAAAATAAATAGAATTTAATTGAAAAATAATTCTACACTTTCTATTGCCTTGCTTATTTCGTCAACTCGAAAGACTAAGAAATTCGACATTTGTATAGAAATATAAATACTTCTGACTCAATATAGACTATCATTTGTCAACATTTTCAACAGGTTGGTGGTTAATAATAAATGAGTTGCGTGACAATGTTTTACCACTAGTCAAGCAAGAAAAGCAGCAGCAACGGCAACGGCAACAACAATAAAAACTACAAAAATTATAATTATAATATTAATAATAGCAACAACAACTAGTTTCTATTTAGACACCTATGACAGCAACATATCCAAAAGGGAAGCCAACAGCAAAAGGCGCACATAGTAAATTACTAATTGATAGTGTGAGTGATTAGATTAGCAAATAGGCTCCCTGTATGAGTGTGAGCAGTGAGCAGTGAGTCCAAGTATGACAGTGCATATGGATTGTGTATATTATCATATGACTAGATAAGTATCGAAATGGGATTTACGACTCTATGCCATATGTCTATGCTGTCTTCCAATTGATGGCTGATGGAACACATATGTGTGTATGTGTTGTGTATATATATGTATGTGTAAATAATACATTAAACAGCCAACGAATTCCAGAGGGTCTGTAAGTGTTTAAAAATAGTACCTAATAATAATCAGGCCGGCAGCAGCAGTGCAGTGCACTGAGGGCGTGCGCCTGGGTCATTAAGTTCAAATATGCAGAACAGAGCGGGTTAGGAGACGAAGGGAGTAAGCGGAGTTTTGGGGAATGGGTGGGTGAAGTGTTCTGCGCAGTGTACGATATGGAAAATGAGTACAAACTGCGCAGCCCCATTACTAATGCAAAACAATTTGTACAAGATTATTAATTTCATGGCTGAAAAGTGCTCTGTGGAAAAAACAAAAAGAAAACCAAAACAAACGGAAGCAAAGTGAAGCAAACGGAGAGACAGATGCAGAGACGCGAAGAAGAATAGAAGAAGAATAGCAGCCAAGCCAAAACCACATCAACAATAAAAATAATATCAAGTTCAGGGCAGACCGACAGACAAGAGAAATGAATATAAGAAAACGGGGTGCAAAACGGCAATGGAATGTGAGGAAAACACAACACAACAAATTGCATACATAACACAACAGTCAAAACGAAGCCGAAGCAAAAGAAGCAATTCTTCTCTTCTGTGGAAAATACCAAAATGCAAAATGCATTTAGAGTTCTCGTTTTGTTTCGTTCCACACACACACACAACAACAACATAATACACATATATAACAAACAAACGTTTCGATTCCCATCGTTTCATCGTTCTGTCCATTTTGGGGTTGCAGCAGAGTTCAATGGTACCCAGCGGCAACAACCACATAACAAAGCCAAAGAGCATGGCACAGACGCGCGCAAAAAAAAAATAGAAGCCCAGCACAAAGCGCAGCCCGTAAAACAGAACAAAGCATGCGAAATTTTTGAGACGAAACCGTTTCGTTTACCTGCGCCATCATCATCGTTTCGTTTCTAAACGGGCCGCCTGCAGCTGCACATACATATGTACACTAGATACACACACACACACAAATTAACTTGTGTGTATGTTTGTGTTGCTAGAGCCATGGACGAGGCCTTCGTCGACAAAGGTAGCGATTCACTCTGCCTGGATATATAAATGGTTTGGTCGACCCGCGTTCAATGCAAATTTTTATTTTCAGTTTTTTTTTTTCTGTAGAAGTAACAACAACAACAAAGGCAATCGTTAAATTCAAAGACATCGTCTGAGTCGGAGAGCTTCTGCTGCTGCTGTTTCTGCTCCTGCAGTTCCCCCTCCCCACAACAGATGTCGCTGGCTATGCGTCAAGCGACCCCCAAAGCAGTTGCTGCTGAATGAAATTCACTCGACGATGGCGCATTTATTGAACAAGTAAAAAAAAAACAATGGGCAAGGCGAACGAGAACCCCACACACAAGGGAGGGAGTTGTATGTGTGTGTGTTTTATTATTGCTGTATGCGAGACGAGGCGACAGACGGTGACAAAAACGACAAAGAATGGCGCAGACAACATGCATTCATACAACAAGAACAAAGAACAATAACAACAACAACAAACAGTCAGCATCCAATTTAGCAAGGAACCAACAACAACAACAAAACAAATCGCCGAGGAGCTTCAGACAACACTGCATGCAATGCTCTGTCTTCCCCCGCATCAGCCCCTCTTACTCTTGTACTCCTTCAATCTCTTGCGGCTGTCATTCGATCTCGCTTGCACTCACGCGCAGCAGATGCGACAGGTCAACGGTGCGCCATTAGTGACTGCATTTCTCATACCCTGGATATTTTGCATAAAGCCTGTATATCAAATGATAATTAGAAGTAGAAGACTGCTCTTATACAGTTATGTACTCTACTAGCTTATACTATGAATTTATTTCGTGTTGTATTTTATTTTTTTGTTCGTCTGCAGGGCAACTGAAAGTCGTGCAGTCTTTCGACTATTACAATTCTTTTATTGTTGGCTGTTTTACATTTCGTTTTCTTTCTTACTGCGCTTTGCAGTGTCTGTGGCTCGCGAGAGCTTCTGTTTATGTGTGTGTGTGTGCTGCGACTCTCCTGGTTAATGCACTAATGGAAGTTAGTTAAATGCGCCTATTCTGTTCTGTTGTCCTCCCATTCTACACTGAAGTGCCTGCAAAGTTTGCACACAAACAACCAGATACAGTCCGAGAACAGCAAATTGATGCAACCACAAAACCAAACCAAAGTTTCGTGTCTATAACTATTTCTTTTTTGTCTCTTGTTGGAGCCAATCTATCCATCCATCCAATCAAATGGTACGTGTCTCTTGGTTCGTTTACGTGTAAACTTTTGATAAATATTTGCTATCTACTTAAACATTTTCAATTAGAGTTGTACCAATTTTCGATGTGTGCACA